ACATGTTGGAACCTCAACATTCAATAAATGCATTCTTCTGCCTTTCAGATTGTGTTTTTACATTTGGGGAACCTAGAGTGTAGCTTGTGCCTGTTTTAATACTGATCCAAACATAGGTGCTACAATCATGTTTTTTTACTTTGGCATGAACTGTTCAGTACAGTAGTGTTCATAACACTGTGCCCTGTGTGCTTTAACTTGTACTTTGATGTAGAGAAACATGATTTTTAATGCAGCTCCATTTGCAATAATGACTGATATCCTTCTACTACAGTTGTTCTAATGATTTTTGAATGCTGTGTTTATCGTTTATTGCCCAGAGTCAGAACTAAACATGATAAAGCTGCATTTCAGATTCACAAGGCTAAAATCTGGAACGGTCTTCCTGGAAATGTGAGACAGGCTTCTTCTTTGACAATGTTAAAATCCAGGTTTAAAACACTTCTGTTTCTGCTTCAACTGAGAGATTTTATGAGAGATTTTATTTGTATCTTTTTAATTTACTGTCAATATTTATAATTGTAATGCCTTGTTTGATTGTTTCTATCTTTTGTTCAGTGCTTTGAGTTTCCTTTTGTTTTGACTGTGCTATACAAATAAACTTGCCTTGCCTATTGCAAAAAGTATGTCTCGACCAGTGAGTGATTCTGCAGAGGTTAAGTAGGTCAATAGGACTGTAAATGGACGTCATATAAACGTCAATATTTTGGTCATATAAGACGTCGAGAGGACGTCGGACCCGACCGGTTCTGTACCACATTGCAACCTTGAATGAAGTGGCCGCGACGTCATTTGAACGTCCAGATAACGTCCAGATGACGTTGAAATGACATAGTTTTGACATCTGCTTGCTTAGTGGGAACAACGGAAAACGAACGTCATATGAAGGCAATATTTTGGTCATATAAGACGTTGATAGGACGTCGGACCCGACCGGTTCTGTACCACATTGCAACCTTGAATGAACGTCCAGATGACGTTGAAATGACATAGTTTTGACATATGCTTGCTTAGTGGGAACGACTGAAAACAAACGTCATATAAACGTCAATATTTTGGTCATATGAGACGTTGATAGGACGTCGGACCCGACCGGTTCTGTACCACATTGCAACCTTGAATGAACGTCCAGATGACGTTGAAATGACATAGTTTTGACATATGCTTGCTTAGTGGGAACGACTGAAAACAAACGTCATATAAACGTCAATATTTTGGTCATATGAGACGTTGATAGGACGTCAGACCCGACCGGTTCCGTACCACATTCAAACCTTGAATTGACGTGCCATCAACGTAACATTTGGAGGTTGAGGTGACGTCGGGAAACGACGTCGAGAAAACTTTCATTCTGCACCCACCAGTGACCTATATTCTACGTCGGACAACGACGTTCAAATTACGTTGATTCAACGTCGGCTTGCTTAGTGGGATGGTGGTCTTCCCCTCCACCTCCCCCACCCACACTCCCCTCTGACGCGCTATATTGGACGAGGCGGGCCAGAGTGATGACTTCCCATTAAAAAGATCCGTATGTTTTTCCACATGTACCGTGTCTCTCCCCATGTTTGTTGAAATATATGTCTGTTTTGCTCTATGCTGTTGAATAACTGTTATTCTACTGTTTGTCGCATGGCGCCGTAAAGATGGCGCCGTGGCAAGAGCTCTGGTGTGTGTCGTCTTCTGGTGCACACGGGGTAGTCTTGCACAGTTTTCCAATGTGGTTTTACTGCAAATGGCAAATAAATGAATCTGATCTATTTAGGTCACAATGTACAAACAGAGAAATAATAATCATCATAATTTTAAAAGAAAAATTTCTCTTTTTTTCCAAAAGCAATTTATTTTTTACACATTTTGTTTCCAGATCACCATTATTATACCATCTTCAAGCAGCTGTTTCCTTAGATTAGATTTTGAAAAGGAAGAGGCACAATTTTAGACAAAGAAACGTTTATGGTCAATCATTGCAAATATTTGTTATGTAAAAAATACCAAATGTTCAAATTGTGACAGCCCACATCACTAAAACACACCCTTTCCCTCAATGATTTTTAAAGAGTTTTTTAGGCCTGAAAACATGATCAAACTGCCATCGCTTGCCAGCTTTTACATTATGTTAAGGCTTCCTGTTCAAAGAATAAATAGCTGATGTTTTTTGGAAATAAATGGTAGTTTTATTGCAGACAATTAACACAAAATATTACTTTGACCATGCCGTTAACGATTTTGGAAAATGTGGTGCTACTGGCCCAAACCCTTACTCTGGTCAAGAGAGTTTTCAACATTTTGAGGGTTATTTTCCCATTTGAATATTCTGATATTTGGTTTTCAATTGGTAATGATTTGAAAAATATTAATTCACTTTTACATTTGAAAAGAATATTTTTTTACTTTACTCCACCCACTTATGGCAGACCACATACAATTATGGTGTTGTTTAAATTGATTTATCCCAGTACAAAAGATAAAATAAATGACTTCAATCAATACTATTTCTCGTTGTTTGTGCACTCTTCCCTATTAACTTTTAGGCCAAACACCTAATGTTTCAGACGCTGCCGTTATTGCCTCCAATCAGGATATTGGTCAGCATGATTGTTGACAGAGGTGTTGGTAATGCGCTCTATCGTACTGTTTGTGCGTCTGCTATTATTAAATCAATGGAGCAATGGGATGTGTCATTGGTCGTACAGAGATTTATGTGACACTGCCTCCAACAATCATTACAAATTGAATCTTGCAAACTCAGCCATAACATCAAGTTAATCCTGAAATGTTGTAGTAATAAATCTTTTATAAATGAATCTGAAGGCTTTTATGCTTTGTCTGACCATGGTGTACCTTGTATTGAATAAACATTTTAATATCATGATATATTGAGTTTTGAATTACTTTGAGTGTATTTTTGCTCGCCTGCTTTATTGAGATGCACAATTACATTTGTTCTGTTCAATAAAGCCACTATCATACATTACTAGGTTCCAGACTAAAATGTTTGGAGCACTGCTGTAGGTGCATCAGCCATTTCACGTATTTCCTGGTGAGACATGATCAATTTGCTTATGCTAAAATGGCCATCGAATTACCAGTGACACGCGTAATTCTTCACTGGTTACAAATGGGAGCCATACAAGCATGTAGTAGTAGTAGTAGTTAGTAGTTTATTTTCTCCGGCCAAGTTGTACACCAGATCTCAGGTCACACGGTTACAGAGATCACATATACTTTTTACAACAAGAAAAAAAATAACCAAAAAGTCAAGAACATTCAGCATGTCTTCACTGTATACAGTATATGGAGTTAAAGGTGTCGACCTATCCAAGAGCAGACATCATGTGGCTTAGTGCATTTCCTTGTTCTTCTTAATAAACTGACCACACTATGCTGGAAGAACATGATGTAGAAGCAACCAGATTGTGATATAACTGAAAGAGCAATCATGTTTTCTTCTGAGTTCCACATTGAACATAGTGTCGTGGTTGTCTCCTTGAACGTGGTTATGACGTGGTTGTCTCCTTGGAATGAAAAAAGATCTTATATTCTCAGTTGAAACATGAATTCTATTTCTTCTAAAAGTGAAAACATTTTTTTATATATCCAGGCTTGTTGACAGCATGGACATAAATGAGCCACGTACCAACAAAACAATGCCTGCAAACTAAAGTAGTATTGACCGCCTCAGAGTCAACACATTACATAACAGACATGACACAATGTTTGTGCACTCAATGATTAAGTATAGATTAACTTGTGTCTGTTAGTGAGGGTATGATCAGGCTGATGATAAGTTTCATGAACCAAGAAAGATTATAGGCACATGTCCATGTTAGTTGGATGTAATTAGGTGGAAGCAAATAAAGAGATGTGTCTTTGAATGAATGGGGCCATAAGGCAGCAGAATAGAGTTCTACACTCCAAAAGTGTTAAAATTAGAATGGCATGCAATTCTAAAATACAAGAATTTATTTGGTCAGGCTCATGCCTAAGTCTAGTCGCAAAGACCAAACATGGTTACACAATGTACAAAAAATAAGTGAAAAACAATATGTTTTAGACAGTAGCGATGATCCTGATTTAAGTAATTGATTATCTTAAAATAACATCAATGGAAACAGTATAAAATGTCAAACAATGAGAACAGCAAACTAAAGGAGCTAAGGTGAAATTCCTTTGAGTTAGTCTTTGAATTGAATTTTTTTTATTTCAGATAAACATCATATTTCATATGATGTTGACATATAATGTTGACTTGTGTATGAGGAAGCCTTAGGCCTGAAATCCTAAGCTATATTCAAATAAAGGCTTTTTAACTTGAACCGCCTTGGAGTTTTGTTTGATTTGCTTCAAGAAGATGGATATGTGTCTGTGTGTGTATGTGTTTGAATCGTTTAAAACAGACAAAATATACTCAAATATAACATGGCTTTTATACATTATTATAACAGTACTATATCATTACCTCTATTTTCAGCCTCAGTCTGGTTTTGTTGATGATGGAATAGTGACTTCTACTGTCTAAAGTGGGGTACTAATATTCCATTTTGTGTAAATGATATTGTCCCTGTTGTTATACCATTTAAGTAGCAATGAGTGGTTGTGCTTTGGGATAAAATGGCCAGGCGTTTTAATGGCTAAATCATCAGTCTTTGTGGTCGGGACAAAGAGGGCGTATGCCACGGGGCGGTGGGACCTCCAGGCCCCGCCTCTGTGCATAATGTGCCGGTGAGACACAGTCAATGAGCCAGACAGCAGCCGCAGCTCCATGGGCCATCAGGACAGGGTTCTACTTCGTCTGTGCGACCACATTGCTTGTATAATGACCTTTTCTGACAGCTAGTGTTTTGGCAAAGTAACTTCACAAGGAGTGTAACTTTCCTGGGCACACAGTCGGATGGAAACCCTCGGGGATCGCCTCTCCTCCTCCTCCGCGGCGGTGGCGGTGGTGGTGGTGGTGGTACCCTAAACTGCCTTTATACACAAACTAGAGCTGTTCTACTATGGAGAATTTCTTTTCAGAGGTAAGTTACACTAACTCTGCATTTACGACAACTATACACGTTGTTACTGTTTCCCACCATGTAAAAAGTGATATCTTCGTTTGATGAGCCGACCTCTTTGTTTTGTGTTCATGTGTGAGTGCTACTGATGGCCAAAAGTCTGTCCTCACTGAGGATGAACTCCTCTCCAAACTTGTGTTTCTACACATGTGCATTCACGTCTCACCCATATTGAAATAAGTTCACTAAGTTTAAGGATCCAAATATAGTTGTAATTTAGTGACAATCAGCAGGATATCTTCCTTATCACGCAATTTAGCCTATATCTTTGATTTTACAGTAGTGACCTTTTACTTAAAGTACATTTCCATTACATCAGATGATGTGGGTGTATTATACTAATTGTATACAAAATATAAATAAAATATTGAATAAAGCATGCAATCCTTGTGAAGAGACCCCAGGAAGAACAGTTACAGGGGTCTTTATAAACTAAACTAAATCTGTCAGTGCTTACAGAGACTGTTTACCTTTAGTCAGTCAGCTGTAAGGTCCTATGTCTGATGTATCAGCCTCATCTCAGTCACTCATTAAACCTAGGCTCTTGTCCAACCATTAACTTCTTTTTACCATAACCTTTTGTTATGAATAAAATAAAATACAATAACAATATGTTAAAATCTTTTGATGTTGAATGAACAGTCATGCATGCAAAACAATCATATGATATCTTGTTAATGCAATGACAAAGGGATATAGCCTCAGGGTAAAAACTCAAGACAATTTATTCCGATCAATTATTTATAACATTAACCTTGCACTCAATACTGGGTGCCATTCCTCTTGTGACTTGTCTAACAGACGGTTGACCACCTATATGTCAACTACAACAGCGGATATTAGGTGCACTTAGCAAATTAGCATTTTTTTCTACTGTAATGATAGAGTAAGAAGTAACTCCTAAAACAGACACGCTGAATGTTTACTTGTCAAATTGTCTGTCTGGCGGGGATCTATTCAATCAGGAGTTCTTGTCTGAAACTAATGACTGGATTACATTTGAGGGAGATGACTACACCAAACTACTTCGCCTACACAGTTTAGTCAGGTATACCTTGCTTCAAGATTCAACATTCAGTTTATTTTCTATTTGCAGTAAGCTTGTTGCACTCCCCATCTTTCCTTTGCAGGAATTATAACTATAAATTATGGAGCTTGTGAGGAACATTAGGGCAGATTATACTAGGAGAGTTTGCTCAGGAGTTTATGCTAAAATCCCATCCCGCCCGTCTTCTCTTTCGGGAACTGACAGCTCCGCCATCACAGCCAATCCATCCTCTGTATAGTAGCACGGACAAACGATAAGTTCCTGGAATTTCAGACCAGCACTTTTAGCTCTTTTCAAGCAAGCTTCACTGCTGACTAAATACTGATGATGGTGATTTAATGCATGAACTGAACAATGTTCTTGGGTTGATAATCTTTCACCCTAGTTATCGCATTACATGTAGATATAGCATAACGGCTTTTGAAAATGTACTTACAGTGTGCAATTCTAAACATAGTATTTCTTTACTGTACAGCTGTTGCCTACTCTAAAGTCACTCTACATAGCTGTTAAGTCCTTACTTAGAAAGCTCTATATTGCCCACTCATTCCCAACCTCCCTGATATATTTTGACAGTGGGAATCCAGCATTCTTTGCAGTGACCCTTCAAATTCCCAGCCACGGAGGCACATTGTATAGCTGTCTAACATGGCTTATGTTTCACACCATCATCACCAATACTATATGATTCCCCCAGCATCCCTTGCAGCCCGGGTGTTTGAAGCTGGAATGTGTGGTAGGCATGTCCTGTCAAAGCGTAACGTGAGTGTGGTAGACTATTTCTCCTTTTCTTTGTAACACAGTTGTCATTTCCGCCAGCTGCCTCTTTTAGTGAGAGGAGGTGACATCTGAGACTCTACTTACAGCTATACAGGGCATCGATGGACTAAGGAAGGAGGCCAGGAAGTAAATTTAAGTTGGCGGAATAAGGAAGGAAGTCTACAAAAATGCCTAATGGCCCTCAAAGGACCACCTTGCAATATTGTCTAAACGGCTTGCTCAATGTACTGTTTATGAAGTCAAGCAGGGGGTTTCCATGGGCTTCCTTAGAGTTGAGGGTTGATAATTTTATTGTGTGGCAAAGGAAGTAGTACTGTAGTTGTAAAGCTGTATGTGTCAGCAATGTAACCTGTGTGACTAGAACCTGGGGGCTGCTTAATCTGCCATGAGTACAGTATTCTGGCACTAATTAACAGCAGGCATTGTCTGACCACAGACCCAAGAACATGGATAATCCTTCACTAATGATACAGATTCCTGGCATTAGGAGAGACACAGCACCAACAACAGATCACAATTCTAAACTTGCCGCAGGGATGTAACCTAAAATCCACTATTAAATCCATGAAAATATTACACACCATGCCCCTAAGAGCAGAGTCGAAAAGTTAATGCTGGCGTACCTTAAAGTTTGTTCTCAAATAATACATGTTTTTTGTCCCAGCAGAGTTTTGTATAAGCAAGAGTGATCATCTCTGATCTAAAGCTGTTACAGAGGCCAAAAATATGCATGAGAAAACTAGTTATAGAACTAACATGTTTTGGGAGCGAGGAACTAGTTACATGGTCGACATAGTTACATTTTTGTAGTTTGAAAGTTAGATACCCCAGCTTTAATGTCTGTGTCTCTGAACTGGTTCCATCCTTGTTGTCATGAAGCTCATCTGAACTTTAAGTTTACATGTGTGCAGATCAAACTAATGAATCTGTCATTAATTATATTGCGTTTGACTTAAGTAAATGTATACATTGATAAATATCTCCTTTCTCTCTTGCTGTCTGTGTTTACATTGCTTGTGTCTCCGTGAAAGCCGACTCCGTCTATCAGCCCGAGCCCATCACCTGCATGGGGATGGCGTGCTGCGATAACCTCCTGCTGACAGCATGCTGTTGACTTTAAGCCAAACATGTTGCATCTCTTTCTTTCCCCACAGGGAGCAGCTAATATTTGCTCACAGCCAGGACCTGATACAATACAGCTTTCATTTACTTTGAGACAAAATGTGAAAATGTATTCTTGTTTTATTTATTTGACAGTAACAATGCGGTCAAATGGTTACTGTGGAGGATTGCATCTGATCATCATACTTATGTGAGATTTCATAACACTTTGAAGCAACTTTTGTTAAAGTTAAACTCATCATTCTATCAATGTGCAGAAGCCAGTACTTTTCCCTTGTTTTGTCTATCTGAAGGCCAAGCTACAAGCACACCGTGGCAGCTGCTGATTGGAGGTCTCCATGCCTCTGCTCTGTATAATACACTTGCATTCTATTGTATCTGTGATCGTGTGCTTTGTTCGTGCTGTCTCTACCATTGACAATAAAACATGTCTTCTGTCTGAATGTAAGACGCGATCCCAGACTATGCCATCTTCTTCAGGTGGTGGAGGATGCGGGCATTGTCTGTAACATCTAGAGAACAGAAGACTAATTTTTTTTTTACACAAAAAGTGTTTTTTTTTAAGCCAAAACTGAAAAACCTCAAGAGAAACAATGCATCTGGACCAGCACATGGACAATCTGCACAGCCCCTGATTCCAGTCAGGCTGTGAGCTGCTGAGACATGGACAACACCAGCGTCCTCTTTTGCAAGGACATAATTTGGAACAATCTGGACATAATTTGGACTGAATTGAATTGCTGAATCTGGACACTGAAGCTGAAACGTGTGATTGAAAGACACGTCACAGAAGAATTCATGGCTCGACACAACAAATGCAGCTGAAGAAACCAACACGGAGAAGTGGGAGAGACTGTTTTCAAAGCAATATCTGGAACCACCATCGACTGATGAAGTTTGGTATTTTACTGAAGATTGTTGACAAGTTTTATGAAAGATCTGAACATGTTTTATGAGTTTTCTGAGTTTTTGAAGTATTCCGAGTTCTGAGTTTTTTGAAGTACCGAGTGAAGTATGAGTTTTGAAGTATTGAGTGATGATGTTATGTTGCTGTTTATCGATCCTGATGGTCACACGTGAATGTATGACCAGAGGGGGGAATGTGAGATTTCATAACACTTTGAAGCAACTTTTGTTAAAGTTAAACTCATCATTCTATCAATGTGCAGAAGCCAGTACTTTTCCCTTGTTTTGTCTATCTGAAGGCCAAGCTACAAGCACACTGTGGAAGCTGCTGATTGGAGGTCTCCATGCCTCTGCTCTGTATAATACACTTGCATTCTATTGTATCTGTGATCGTGTGCTTTGTTCGTGCTGTCTCTACCATTGACAATAAAACATGTCTTCTGTCTGAATGTAAGACGCGATCCCAGACTATGCCATCTTCTTCACTTTCTTCCTGTATGCTTCAACATCCTTTCATAAGTACATTCCCACCAAAATGCTGGCGCAAAACCTGCTGTTTGCTTTGAAATCTTTGTGTTGTAGTCTTAGCCTGAGCACCATGTCACACATCCAATCCTGGGATAATATGCAGAGAAAATGAAAGCATGCTTGACTTAAATGCTCCAGAGGTCAGCTGGCTGTCACCTCACATGGCCCTACCTGATACAGAGTTAATGACTGCTCTAAATCCGTAGTTCCGGCAGTTTTAATATAAACCAGTCTGTGATTACGCTTTCCACCCCAGATGTTTATCCTCTCTGATTACTGCATGACAATATAGGGACATTTGTTGACTTGTTGAGGTTGTCCATTGGAGAATAGTTGGTGGTTATTGAGTACAGTCAATGTCTAATATTTGAGCAACATTCTTACTTGATCACCTACTTATGTCCCCCATTCATAACCACACTCCTTCAGAGTAACAGTGTATCAAACATAACAGTACAATATTGTGCCATAGAACCAGCAGTATTCTTCTGACTTTAGAGTGGCAAACATTGTGTACTATACCATATGTTCACAGGTTCACAGGTAGACAATAATGCATATTAATAAATTCCAAGTT